GAACCTCTCGCTGAATCCCGGCTTCTCCGAGTCGATGGCGTCCCTGGTGCTCGCCATGTGCTCGGACCTCGTTTCGGCCTCGGTAGGTTTTTACCACGCACCTCTCCTCGCTCGCTCTGCCCTTCCCCTCTCTCGCCTTCTGGTCTAAGGCCGACCACATCGCCTGCCTCCATCTTTTTCTCCTCACTCACCCCGTCATTCCCTCCGCACTCAATCCCGACACAGAGTCTTGACTATCTGTTTGCCGATCACCTCAGCCACATCATCCTCTCCATCACTGCTGCCATCATCTCTGTCGAGTCGACCGTGGTACGACCTGGCTTTCCTCTGCTCCCCCCCCCCTCCCTCTCCCTCTCTCTGCCCTTTGTTGGCTCGTCCGCGGGCCCCACTGCGCACCGTGAAACTCATCCCCCTCCCCGCTGCCCTGCCCCCGTTTCCTCATCGTGGCGGCCGGTTTGTGTCTGGTATCAGGCTTTCCGTGGCACCCTCTTCTCGGCGCTCAGTGCCCTGATCCGCTTCGTGTCGATCGACGATTTGGGGCTCTTCTGCCATGAAGGGATGTCCCTGTTCAACTGTCTGGCGCGTGACTGCCTGAGCGCCCCGCCGATCCAGCGTATCCAGGCCCTTTCGGCTTTGAATGTTCTCATCTCGTCTGCCGCCAAGTCCTCTACATTTGCCCAGTACCTGCCGCACTTTGGCTTGCCGCAGCTCATTCACAGCCTGCAGGAGGATGATGCCCTCATCAGTGAAGCCATCGTCTCTGGGTCCGGTACGAATGCAATCATGCCTGTTCTTCTCCCCTCGTCTTTTGCTGCCTTCCTCTCTCCTCGCCACCCCCCCCCCTCCCCCCTGTCTTTGTCTCCCTGTCAATGGCCAGGGGCTCTGACATGCTCTGTCCCTTCCTTGCTCGGTCTCTGCACACACCCACACCCACCCAGACTCCCTGCTCAACATGATTCTCCTGCAGGAGGTCCGCTTGTCGCTCTTCATTCGGCTCTGCTCCATCCCGAGTGGGGCGCTCTTCCTCTTCGAGCACCGGCTCCTGGATGTCTTGACCTTCTGCCAGTATTTCCAGAACCGGCCGACCGAGCAGGAGTCCGTCGCTGGTCGTACGTTTGCCCCGCTCCGCCCCCCCCCCCCCTGGCTTTCGTCTGTTTCTCGACCGCCAATTCATCCGGTCGCTGACCCTCCCAATCGCTCCCCCTTCTCGTTCTTTGCCCTTCGCTGTCTCCACTCCTCTCCCCTCATCCGATCCCATCCGGCAGGAGACGCGTCCCGCGACCTGAGCCAGTCTGATCGTTACCACTTCACCTTTAAGCCGGTGCTGGAGCTGGTCTGCTGCATGTTGCTCACTTGTCGGTCGAACTTGCTGGTTGCTCGGCGGGTGGCTGCCTTTGTGGCCGCACACCGTGAGCTGATTATGATGATCCTGCATGACTATTCTTCCTTCCTGAGCAACCCCTCTGCTTCCGGGCGCACGGTGTCCCTCTTTGACCTGGAGGAGGTGCACCTGATCATCCGCATCCTTGTCGGTCTGTCTCGGCACTTTTCGTCCTTGCAGTCGGAGGTACGTGGCCTGGCCCGGAATTCGCTCTCCGGCTCCTTTTCCATCACCTATGTGGGGCTCTGTCTCATTGTTCCCCTTGTTGCCGGCTGTTCGACAAGTGGGCACACACACACACACACACACACACACTCACGCACGCACACGCACGCGCACACGCACGCACTCACATACCCACCTCGTATCTGCATTTTCCCTGTTTCCCCTTCTCTTCATGCTGGCAGTTCAAGTTCGAGCGTTTTGAGAAGCTCATCGGCAACATCATCGAGGGCCACGCCAAGCACCCGGACATCCAGCGCCTGTTTGGTGTGGGTCTTGCCAACGCCTCGGCCCCCGACGGCGGGGATGCCCTTGGTGTAGGTGGTGCCGACCAGCTTGCTGGCAGCGGGGTGTCTTCTTCCCCCGGATCGGCCATGCTCCAGCGTGCCAAGGCCGGGATCTTCCCTTCACGCTTCAGTTCCTTCCGTTCATTCGGCCGGGGCACCGGCGCCGGGGCCGCCTCCCCCAGCGGGGCATCCCCCAACCGGGGAGACTCTCCCGGGGCGCCGGCTTCGTCCTTCTCCCAGCGCTCCCCCTCGGAGTTGGGTCATGCCATCCTGGTGGCCTGTCTGACGTACGTCGGGCACCGGCTGCCCGATGCCTCCTCGGCCACCTCCGGCGGTCTTTCCCCCTCGGGCCGTCCCGGTGCCGCGGAGCCCAGCCCGGTGCTGGCCGGCTCGCCGCAGCTGTCTCTCGCTGGCCTGGGTCTGGCGGCTCTGCAAGATCTCCCGGCCTCGGATGTGGCCTCCCTTCAGTTTATCCTGCCGGCGCCGGCCAGCGGCACGGACGCCACTGGTCCGGGTGCTGCCCCGGCCGCCGGCTCTGGCGTCGCCAGTGCCGCGGTCCCCTCCGGCCCGAGCGGTGGCAGCGGCGGCGCCGCCGGTGTGCCTGGCAGCAGTGGTGCTGCCGGTGCCGGTGTCGGCGGTGCCTCGACCCCTGGCAATGTCTCCTCGCCCCCCGGTGGATCTCAGCTGTTTGGCAGTGGGTCTCTCGGCCCGGCGGGGGCCAGTGCCGGTGGTGGCTCGGGCGGTCCGGCCACCTCGGCCGGCCCGGCGGGCTCTCCCGCCACCGGCAGCGCCAATACCAAGCCCAGCATTGATGCCCTGTTTGCATCGACCATCCGCGAGGCGGCCACCGGGCAGGGTCCCCTTCGCGATGCGCCGTACTACAGCTACCGGAGCGGCTCGTCCTCGGTTTCCGGCAACCCGGCCATCGGGGTGCGGCATCTGCCGGCCTTCGCCGATGCGCGTTCCGTCATGCTGGTCATCGGGGCTGTGGCTCCGCAGCTGGCCCGGCAGTTGGTTGATCTCTTCCTCAACTCCGCCAGCCAGACCCGGCACTTCCAGAGCCAGTACAGCCAGTACTTCCCTCTGGCGAGCCTCAGCACCCTTGGGTCTACCCTGGCCGGGGGGGCCCCGGTGGCCGGTGGGCTGCGCGACGCCCCTCTGTCCCTGTCCTCCCTGTGAGAATGGCCGAGCCTCCTTTCAGTGTCCCTTCTCCTCCTCCTCCTCCTCCTCCTGCTTCTTTCCTTCCCCCCCCTGTCCGCCTTTTTCACCACCACACGATGGCCTCGCTTTGGCCCCTGGAATGCTGTGTGCCGCCATCCTCGCCCGGTTTTTCACCCCCCCCGGCTGCCCTCCTTCGGTCCCTTTCTCATGTCACATACACCATGTCTTGCAATATACACGGGCCTTTTGCCCCGCCTCTTCAAAGGGAAAACCGGTGATGGCAAGACGGATGGTCCCACCGTGAATGGCAATCGTGCGAAGGGGAAGTCTATTGTGGCACGGCTGTCCGCGGGATTTTTTTTTCTCGAAATTGCGAGACAGGCACGATGTTCCGGGCGGCGACGGGTGCGGCTGGAGAGAGAGAAAGAAGCCGGGGCTTGCCAATGGAGGAGGGGAGGAGGGGGGGGGGGGAGGCATGCGCCCGGCGCACAAGGAGAGAACTGAGAAGAGGAGCGCGAGAAACGGGGAGGGGGGGGGGGGAGGACACCGGCCGAAAGGCACAGGGAAACCCCGGTGACTAGAAGAGCGCCGGCGAGACCAGGCCCTGCATCAACTGCTCAAACGAGAGGGTGGTCACCCGGTAACGCTGGCGAATTTCGCCGATCAGGCGCAGGCGGTTGGCATACGGGGTTGGCAGCCGGTCGGCAGCCGAGGCGGTGTTGGTCCAGCCGGCGGCCTGCGTCCGGCGGGTGGTTTCCAGCACAGCGGCGCGCACCAACGGCCCGACGCACCGGGCCGACACGATGGCCCGGTGGACCAACGGCGTGGCGATCAGCGGCCCGAGGTCATCGGCCACGCCGCCGGCCCGAGTGTGCACCTCAATCGAGCGCAGCCCATTGGGAAGGGGACAAATGACGATTTGCACATCCCCAAAGGAGGACCGCACCACGCTGTTCGGGATGTAAGGCCGGTAATGCTCATGCCAGAAGACCTGGACCACGTCATTGCCGATGTGGCGCTTCTTGCGGAGTTGCTCACGCGCCGGGACGAAGTGCCCAGGGCCATCGGCCAGCGGGGCCGACAGGGTGCCTGTCACCGCTCCCGGCGGTATCAGAGCCCCATCACCGATCACCAGCACCGGCGGCGGCCGCAGGGGCTCGGAAGGGGCACTAGAGGCGGCAGAGGCACCGGCGGTGGCGGTAGCAGCAGCAGTAGCCGCCGCCGCCGCCGCCGCCGCCGCCAGGGCGGCAGCCGACGGCGGTGAAGGAGGCCCCCCAGGCACCGGGGGAGCGGCCGCCGGCCAGAAGGCATGTGCCATGCTGGTGGGCGGGGGACAGTCAATGGGCGGCACGATGTGGGCCTGGTCAGACGGATCCTCCTCCTCGTCGTCCGTGCCACCGCCACCGCCGTCACCGGCCCCGGGCCCGGAGCCGGAGTGGAGGTCACGCTGTAGATCCGCCTGCGCATCGGTCGGGATCCAGGTGCTCACATGCCAGACAAGCTCCGCCCGAGCCGTGGCGAAGTAGGCCGTCCACCAGCCATTGTAGCCACTGGTGTCCAGGCCGGCCGAGTAGCCAGTATGGAAGGCCAGATGCACCGGCCAGCCGAGAGTGGCGGCAAACTCATCGAACGCCCGGGAGGCGACCCGGTTCCCCAGGACATCATACTCGGTTTCCTGCCCCGGAGCCACATACACCAGGGCCGCCTTCAGATGATGGCGCTCACGCTGGCGGTCCAGTGCGCCGATGTCTCGAACAAGTTTGGGCACATCGCGCTTCAGCAACTCGAAGGTCGGCAGGCGCGAATCGAAGGACAGCAGGCCGAAACTCGCGAAGAAGAGCCGGCAAAGCTGGTTCGGCAGCGGGCTGGCTCGGTCGCGCACGGGCTCCTGCGCTGGCTGGAAGCGAAAGCGCCCCGGGCCGCCGGCTGTCGCCATCGCCGGCGGGGTGACCGGCTCAAGATCAGCAACCTGAAGGCTGGAGGCCTCGCTGTGGGGCCAGGGCATGGGTCAGCATTTGCTCGAAGGAGACCATCGGTCGGGCGGCACCCCCTCCCCCCGCCTCCCCCTCTCCCTCCCTTTCCCTTTTGCCTTGTGCCCCTGGGACCTCCTGTTGCAGGGGAGCACAACGTACGAGTAGAGCGATGAAATGTGAAGATCCAGGTGATGCTGTTCCATCAGAGCGGCCAAGGCCAAGGCATCCGAATGACCAGGCCCCAGTCCGGTCGGAAGTGGAATGGCCGGTTCGGCCGCTGCCCCCGAGGGGTTGGCCGACCGACCGCCCACCATCGCCACCACGGGCAAGTCCAAATTGGAAGCCGACCGGGGCGGAGCCTGAGCCGGGCCCATCGGAGCCGACAGGCCGGAGGTCGGGGGGCCACCCTGCACCGGGGTGGCCACAGTCGAGGCCAGTCCTGGAGTACTTGAGCCCTCGGGCTCGGCGACATACAAGCCGCCGCTGGAACTGAGTCTCAATCGACGGACGGCTTCGGTGCTGGCCAAGCTGGTGGGCTCGGTGCTCCGGGGCCAGTCCTCGCTCCAGACAGGGCCATCAGTGCCTGGGGGGAAATTCTCCCCGATGAAGTTCAGCAAGGAATCCAGCAGGTCCACACTGGCGGCAGATGCGTCCGGGTGCTGATGTGGTGCTTCTGACGGACTGCGCACATACACGGACAGCTGTTGCAGCTGCGTCGAGGCATCCAGGCTACCGACAGACCTAATCATCATCATCATCATCATCATCATCATCATCATCATCATCATCATCATCATCGGCATCATCGGCATCATCGGCATCATCGGCATCATCAGCATCATCATCATCGGCATCCATCCCAACAACAGAAGCAGGAGAATCAGGAGCAGGAAAAAACAAATCGGTGAGTTTCAGCCATGAAAACAGGCAGAGGCAGGAGAGAGAACGAGAGGGGGCCCGAGTCAGGCGTACCGGTGCGTGGCCGAGCGCCGGCGCTGCAATAGCGAAGGAGACTGCTCGGTATCAATGGGCACGGGGAGGTCGGCCGATTCGGCGGAGGGAAGGCCCGGAACCGGGGGGCCAGCGTCATCGCCAACTGGCAGGGTCATCGCCTCGAGGAAGACCTTGGCCGCGTTGGTCAGGGGAACATGCTGGCCGTGGGCCGACCGGCTCTGCTGCTCGCGAGTGAAGGTGCCCGCCGGATCCTCCGTGTATAGCAGCCGCAGATCCCACACATACCGACCGGTCATATTCCGAGCGATCAGGCGGACGTCCACCGATTCTATGAACAGCATCCCAGGCCGGGGAACATGGCACACGATGGCGTCAGTGGCGGCGGTCTCCATGGCGACCGGGAGCACGGGAATGCATCACCAAGCGCACCCTTTTGCACGGAGAGCTCTGTGAAAGAGAGAATGGTCGTCTGATTGAAGACCACATAGCGCGCGGACTCGGCGGAGGAGCCCTTGGGGCGAAGCTTCAAGTCATCGGACTCGGTGACATTGCTGCGCGCGGGGCCAGCAGCCAGGGCCAGGGAGGGGGGGGGGGGAAGGAAAAATGCAGGTGTCCCATGGGGGAGAGGAAGCCGCCGGGCAAGCAGGAGGAGGATGTGAGGAACGGTCCGCCTGGCCAAGTCCGTGAAGATTCCCCACGGAAGTGCGGGCCCACGTACCAGTCAATGCGGCTGGGCCCATTCCACCCCGGGAAGGAGAGAGAGTTGTGTAGGAGGTGGATGAGCAGCTCGCGCGCGGCCTCCTACGGGACACAGGGCCCGGGAAAGCCCCACAGCCGTGGCAGGAGCACAGGTCAGCATATGTGTGAGGGTCCGATGGCCAGGCGGAGGCAGGATAGCCACGCACTTTGAGAATCTCCGGGGACATGGCAGCCCCGGGGCCCAGGGCATGCTTGGCGGTGGCGGACGCGGCTGAGCCGGCGGACCCGCGACCACGACCGGCCTCGGCCGGGGACCGGGCATTCGCCCGGCCCAGGGACCCAATCAAGCCCATGGATGTCGGGGAGTTCGGCACCGAGGCCGACCCGGCCCCCGAGGAAAAGGACGAGCCAGTGGGGCTTGCGGGCCGGTGTGCGGTGGCCCCGGCTCCGCCAGGGCTGAGGAGGCTCTCCAGCGCAGCGAGCACCATGTCCGAGAGGTTGCGATTGCTGAAGAGAATCTCCGTCGGGAAGATGGACGTCAGCTCGGCCAGGCAGGCCAGCAGGCGGGAGATGGTTTCGCCGACTGGCACGCCACAGACAAGGGCCGAGGGATCCATGGTCAGCAAGACGGCAGACCGGAGAGCAGAGGAGAGCCGAACAAGGGCAGGTGCAGGCAGAGGGAACAGCTCGGGACAGGATGGCGCACTCTCGAATGTCGGCGGCGCCGAGAACAGGTAGATCATGGAGGATACCAGGCTCGGGACGATGTAGGACACCAGGTCACGCCAGCGATCATTCAATGCCGGCGATCGGCGCTCACCCTGCCGCGGCGACTCCGGCGAGGGGGCTCCAGCATCCGGCTCCGGGGAGGGGGTTCGCGAGCCGCAGTCCTGCAGCGAGTCCTTCGGCTCAGCTTGCCTGGGGGGCGGGCTGCGGGAGCCGGTGGTGCTGGGAGCCGGCCGGTCGCGACCGGCCGTGGCGGTCGAGTCGTGGCAGCTATAGGCAAACAGCAGGATGACATCGACACACGCCTGGCCAATGAGCGGGTCAATGAAGCGCGTGTACTTCAACAGGACATCCAGCCCAGAGAGGACCATATCGAAATCCGGGCTGCATCGGTGGCTGGCGGTGAGAGACTGAGGCGATAACCGGAGGAGGGGGCCGCGATAGGGGCAACAGCAAGGGCCGCACCTTGGGGACATCAGCTCCTCGAAGAGGTAGAGCCCAAAGCAGGACACCAACGACGCGTGGGCCTCCGATGAAAGGGGCTGCCGGCCGCCACTGGGCAGTGCTGTCAGGGGCGAAGGCGTGCCAGGCGTCGCGCCAGACGATGGGTCCAGCTGCGTGAGGCTGGAAAAGTGCTCCATCAAGTCCAAAAGCAGCCGGCGAAGGATTGCCTGAAGCTGCGGGTTAAAGGGGAGGAGCGGGGGGGGGGGGGGGGGGTGGGGGAATTGGGCCTGGGGGGGGGGGGGGGGGAGGAAAGTCAAATGCCAGAGGCGCGGTACCTGACTGAAGGTGTAGCCCGTGGCATCGGGCCTGACAAACCCGCATGGCAGAAGGCCGACCACGATCTGCTCATCGGCTGGGAGACCGGGAGCCGGCTCAAACTGGCGGATGGTGCCGACGATGGAGGCCAGCACTTGAATGGCACAAGTTTGCACCTCTTGGGGCGGCGTCTGGTTGGTTCCGAGAAGCTGTGCCAGGGGGAGGACCACAAAGTGTGAGCAAGGGCGAGGGCGGCAGCTCGGAGGACAGGGAGCCCGGAAGGTGGAGGGACCGGTCGAGCCAGGGGGGGGGGGGGAGAGGGCAGATGGCAGATGCGGAGGAGAGGAAGAGAAAGCCGCACAATGTACCGGACTGCCCGCAGCACGGCCGGAATCAGAAGCTCAGAGCCTGGCAGACAGGTGGCGAAGAAGCGCGGCATATTGCGAATGATGCTATAGAGGAGGTTCATGTCGAACTCCGGAGCCAGCGCCTCACCAGCAGTCGGCAGGGGCTGGCCAGCTCCCCACCCGGGTCCGGCTTCCTGTTGGCCGGTCAGCGCGCGCGACAGGAGCACATAGAACTCCGGCAGGAAGGGGGCCGCCGGAGGGGGGATATGGGCCGGGGCCGGGAGACGCTCAATGCCCAGCGGAGTCTGCGGCACGGGGGTTTCCAGTTCCGAGGCCGAGTCATTCCACCGACACATCAGCCGGATCAGGCCGCCGACAGCCAGGGCTCGAGCGGAGGCAAATTTCCTGATGAGCCCCCGGGCGAGAAGAGGGGTCAGATGACGCCGAGCTAGGATGGAATGCGAGGGACGGAAAAAGAGGACAGAACAAGGGAGGCTGGCAGGCTGGCAGGAGCCGGAGAGGAAGAGCCAGTCAGCCAGCAACAGGCGTACTTGTCCAGGTTGGCCGTTTCGATGAGCCAGCGAGTGAAGAGATAGATCGGGGGCACTGGATGATCCGAGAGAGGTGCCTTGATGCCAATGTCACGGATCTGGGGGCAGAGGTAGACAAGGGGGAATCCATCGCGCCAGGGCCGGGCATGGGTGTGTCAAAAAAAAGAAAAAGCACCACCGTGGCGAGGCTGGGGAGAAAAATGGATCGGCACAAAAAACGCACCTTGATCAGATCGTCCATGAATTGGACCACAGCCTCAATGGCCTTGGACAGGACGTGAGGCACCTTTCACGCGGGAGTGGGGACAAGGAGCAGGAGGGGGGGGGGGAGGGGAAAGAGCCCGGGGTTAGAGACCCTGATGAGAGAGGCGCCCAGGCGTGCATGCGCCATCGCGCACCGTGATCTTGCTGACGTTGCCCAGGAGGAAGAGCACGGAGCGCCATTTGAAGTAGACGAAGCGTCGATACTCGTCGACACACTGAGTGTAGGCGTCCAGCCGAACGCCAAGGGCCTGGTCCACATTCTGAGGGCGGTCCATGTGCCACGAGGAAGTGGCGAGGGAGAGAGAGAGAGAGAGAGAGAGGGAAGGAGTCAGACCACCAGCAGGAGGAGAGGCAGGAAGCACGGTTTGGGGACGCACCTCGAGCTCGAAGTAGGCCGGCAATTCCGGCGAGATAGATGAGTCCGGCACATGCACGGCCGGGTCGGACAGCAACTCGGCCGCGGAGTACTGCGGCCCCGGGCGCGCGGCAAAGGGAGCCCCATTCACATGGACGGTGATCATCGGGGAGATAACCAAATCCTTCGAGGCGGAGCGCTGCGGCCCAATCCGCCAGGCGGAGGAGGGGAAAGGAGGGGGTCAGTGTCTGGCAGGCGGGCCGGAGGGCAGCAGGGGGCAGGTGATGGCGCAGGCGAATGCGCGCGTACCTCCACCAACACAGCAGTGGCGATGTCGCCCACTGAGTGCCTGGAGGCCTGAATCGTGGAGGCCAGATAGCCGGTGGTTCCGGCAGTCATGGCTGGCGATGTGATGCCCGAGGAGATCGAGCTACTGGAAGAGGTGGATGACTGTAGGGAGATGGCACTGCGCGAAATGGACGTCGAGTCGGTCGTGGCGTCGGTCGGCCGACGTCGAGCACTGCCAGGGGGCTGGGGGGCTGAGGTGGGATTTTTTTTTTTTTTTCCATTTCCTCGCAGTCGTCAGTGATCAAAAGCCAACATCATGGGCGGGAGAGGGAGTGCCGTCAAAGCATGTGCGGGCGCGCGGGCGAGGACGTGCAAGGGGGACGCACGGGCCGACAGGCTGGGAAGGTCGACATGGAAAACCACGCGGGAGAGGAGCCGCGTGATGGAAGAGACCGTCCGCTGGAGGGGGCAGCAAATGCATGGCCGGGAGCCCGTCGGTTGGAGGTCAGGCCAGGGGAATGTGCAGCGAGGGAAGAAAAAGAGCACCGAGACAAGGGCACATCCGGCAGGCGGGGGGGGGGGGGAGATGGAAACGCACCGACCAGAGCTCAACCGACTCCGGACGCGGGTACGAGGCCAGCAGGCGCGAGCATCGACGCCACAGCGATCGCGAAGTGACCAGCGACCGGACCAGCACCGAAAAGAGGGTCAACAAATACTCGCGGGCCAGGTTGTGCGCCAGCGACAGGTCCGTCAGCAGGACCGACCTTGGGGGGTCGATGCGCAGGGCCGTGGTTGGCCGAGAGAAGAGGGTCTCCTCCAGGGCGGGAGCCGGGGCCGGGGCCGGGGCCGCCAGGCGTTCGGCCGTCGAGGAGGTCGAGGCGGACCGGCTGCGAGCGGGCTCCTCGCTTCGGGCCGAGGTGGGCTGTGTGATGGCAGATGCGCCGGCCGGCCCGGCAGACCCCCCTTCAACAAGCGAGGCAATTGACTGGAAGCTCTTGGTTTTGGTCAGGCGACTGATGCGCGAACGGGTGCCGGTCAAGGTCCCGCCTGTGGACATGGTCGAGGAGTCGAGGCTGGCCATGGATGAGCCCTGGCCGCTGGTGGCCGCGCCGCTGCCAGCGCTGGCAATGCTGCTCAGGCTGCCGGTCGGAGTGGCGTCCACCTGCTTCGAGAGGGGCGGAGCCGCAGACGCCGAATGGGGCCCCGGGGCCCCGGGCAAAGGCCCTGCCGGATGGGAGGAAGGCGATCGCGGGGCCGCCTGCGACGGGGGCTGCGGCTGGCTCCGCGCGGCGCTCACCTGCGAGGGGCTGGCCAAAATGCGTGGCCCAATGGCCAGCAGGCACTCGATGATGGTGTACCAAGTCCGGCGTTCGAGCTTCGACTGGCCGGCCCCATGGAGGGGGGTCGACCCGGGCAAGCCGGCAGACAAGCAAGCCTCGCTCAGGCTCCCAGGGCCGCCCTGGATGCTGATGACGCGAATGATCTGCAGGACGCGACTGTACAAGTTGAAGAGGAGCTTTTGGTCGGGCTCCGAGGGCGAATGCAGCTGGAGGGAGGATGCGGTTATCCCGAGGGGGGGGGGGAGGGGGGGGAGAAAAAAAGCAGGTCGAGGGAGGGGATGTCAGAAGGGGGGCCGGGAAAAAAAAAAAAAAAGATGCAACTCCCCCACCCGCCAGTGGGGACACGTACATGCACCGGGATGAAGACCGCCTCGCCTGGGGATCCGGATTCCAGGTGCTCCAAATGCCGCTGATCAGAGGTGATAAGCCAAGCCGGGCCCTCGTTGGAGGGCTGGAGCAGCCCGGAGGGCAGCAGCCCGGCCGAGGCCGGGGCCAGGGGAGAGAGCGAGTCGAAGAGCAGCGTCAAGTCCCGCAGCAGGGTCCGATAGTAGGCATTGACGGCGGCGGTGACAGCGCGTTCGGGATCGGCCGAGCGCGGCATGCCGCCAGGCCGGCTGTCGGAGACGGCGGCGGCCGCAGTGGCCGCGGCCACCAGCGACGAGAGGGCCGGGGAGGCCGGCCGACCGGCCGCAGCCCCGGCCGCCCCCCCGGCATCCGGACTCAGGCCACCCTTGAGCGGTTCGGTCTTGATGCTGTCCGGGATGGAGTCGATGTCCACAATCGACAGGTCCTCGTCGCTGCTGGACCCGACATCCTCGTCATCCTCCTGGCCGGCCGCCGGGCCATCCCCCGGGTGCGACATGCCGAGGGTCGTGCCATCGGAAGCAGCATGGCCGGGGGTCGGTTGCTCGGACGATGAGGCACGGGCCAGGCCGGCCCCGGCCGAGCCACGCCGCGAGGCGCCGGCCGGGGTCCCGGGAGTCGGATCCAGCACCACATCCACCGGGGTGGCGTCATACCGCAAGAACACCGGCGGGGTCTTGACCATCCACAGGTGGTACAGCTGCACCACGCCCGACACCAAATGCAAAGGCAGCGGGGCCGAGCTCCGCAAGAGCACCGGCCCGGCCACGGTAGACAGGGAGAAATGCCCATCCGACCCGGTGACCGTGTCATTGACCGTGGCCACGACCGTCACCGAGGCCACCGACTCGACGGACGAGGCAGGGGCCGGGGCAGTGTGCCCGGCGGCGGGCCCCGGCCGGCCACCGGCTCCCGGCGACCCGGGCACCGCGAACACCAGCCGGTGAACCACGGGATCCGACGCCAAGCGCAGGCACTGGCGTAGGATGTCCAACAGCAGGAGGCGGTTTCGCAGGCTCTCGGAGAAGAGACGCTCGAAGGAGGCCACACTGGCCCAGTCGCCGGGACCCAGGGCCGGATCGGCCGGTGACAGCCGCATCGGGCCAACCCACCCGCGCAGGACGAACTCCAGCAGCACCCGCTGGATGGCCCACGGGGCCGCGCACAATGGGCCCCCAAGGCAGGCCGAGTTGAAGGTGGTACTGGGCGAGGCGGGGATCATGGCGGGGCCATCTGCCGGGACGGCGGCGGCGGCGAAGCCCTCGCCGGCGGGGGGCTGCTCGATGGCGGCCGACTCGCCGGGGGCCACCACGCCGAGCATCGGCCCATGGGGAATGCCCTGGACACGGGCCGGGTCATTGGCAGCCAGGCTGGAGCAGGGCCATGCTTGGGGAACGCGCAGGGGCTCGGGCGCATCGGAATAGAAGAGCACCAGGTAGTGGCGCTTCAGCAGCCCGAAGAAGTACACCAGCTCCGAGTAGCGTGATGGCCCGGCGGCCGCATGGGCACCGAGCGACTGCAGCAGGAGCCGAAGGACGGACAGATTGTGTTGCCGGATGGCGGACGGGGTGTCACCGTGTGGCACCAGGAAGGGCATGGTGTGCAGATCCAGCGAGAAGCCGCCCAGCTGGTCAGCCCGGACCAGGGGATTGTAGGGAAGCGGACGCAGGGGCATATGCCCCGATACGGGGACCGGTCGGGCGCCGGGGGTCTTGTTCCCGGGCGCCGGGGCCGCCAGCTCCGGCAAGAAGAGGGCCAAATTGATCAGCCCGGCATACAGCTCCACCAACATGGGCACATCCACCAGGAAGAGCGACATGTAATCCAGGAGGAGCTGGACAGTCACAGTGTTAGTGGCCAGCCCGACAGCCGGGGCAGCACATGGAGGGAGAGACGCAGGGAAGAAAGGGCATCGGGGCGAACGAAGGGGGCGGCCTTCCCGGGGGCCGGATGCGCACATGGACACCCTCGACGCGAATTTTATGATGGTTGCCATGATCCAGGAGCAAGCGCAGGAGGGACACGATTTTGTCGGATTGCGGACTCACTCGCAGATCGGGCCCCAGGTGATGGCACATCCGGCGGAGGATCTCCACCGCCACCAGGAGGTCCTGGATGGCTGCGGTGGACATCTGCACCTCCTTGAGGACTGGGGACAGGCGGGGGCGGGGGACATTGAGGACAGGTCAATTTGGGGCCCGAGCCCGGGGACGGGTGCAGCACATTGGGGGAGGACGCACGGCGGATCTTCTCCAGTTGGCGCTCGATCGATCGGAAAACCACCGACAACGCCAGCGGGCCATGATCGCGGAAGAAGGCCGCCTCGAATTCGCTACTTGGGCCTTGGGTGCGAAGGGGCAACAGGTGGGGTTAGTATTGCATGGGAGAGAGGGGGGAGGCCGCGCGGCGGAAATCCGAGCAAGGGAAGGGGCCCGCAGGCGGGAAGGCTTACCGACAAAGGATTGCAATGCCTGGAGCCGCTTGCGGATCTTGGCGTCGGGGCTGAGGAAGTCCCGCAGCTTCGACCGGCGTATGATCCGATCCAAGCGCCCATCAGCAGCCATGAGCGATTCGAGGGAGGAGGGCACGCTGCCGGGCCCGGGGCCGGGGCCGACTCCGGAGCCGGTGCTCACATCCGACATCGACCCGGGGGCTGAGGAGCCTGGAGGGGCGCCGCCGGCGCCGGAATCCAGAGACCCTTGCGCCAGGTTGGCACGCGTGTTGCCGGACATTTCGCCGGTCAAAATGGAGGGAGGGGGAAGGAGCGGGCCGGGAGGGGAGGGACAGGCGGACGCGGGAGCGGGAGCGGGAGCGGGAGGAGGAGAGAAGCCGGCGTGGCCGTCCCCCGGGTGAGCGAGCCCCGCGAGTGGGTGGGTGTGCCGACCAAACGCGAGCTGTCAGCAGGCCACCGGCCAGGCGGGCGCGGCTGAGGGATGCGGAGGAGACCGAGCAGACAGAGAGGAGGTAGTGGACGGGGGGAGGGGCGGCAGGGAGGGGGAGGGGCGGCAGGGAGGAGGGGGACGCGGAGGCGCGCAAGAGAAACGGGCACAGGGCAAGAGCAGCGGCCAGGGAGAGGGGGGGGGAGGGGGGGAACGCCAGGAGGCGCACGGAGAAGGGTGCCTCAACGCGCGCGGGGGACGCACTCCTGCCTCGACGAGGCGCCTGATCTGTGTGCGCGTTGGAGTCGCCCGCGAGAAAAAGATTGGGGTCCCCGGCGGGACCGAGGGCGGGGGAGCTAGGGGCCAGAGAAGGGGGACGGGGCCGCCGGCAGCCTTCGCAGATGACGGGGCGCAGGGGGCCAACCCGGGGAAGCATACGGCGCGCCCGGGCAGCCGAACAAAAGCGCCCAGTCTAGACTTCCCGACCCCGGGGGTGCGCCGCGGTCAGCCCGGCTCGCTGGGCATCGCCCGGGCGCCCCGGGCCCGGCCACCAGGATGGTGTGTGTGTGTGCGTGTGTGTGGCGTGGGGAGGAATGCCACGGGCGGGGAATTCGCCGACGTAGCTCCCGAATGCCAACGCATTCGGCAGTCTGCATAGGCAGGTGGGGCATTGGGTGCCGGCCCCGACGCGTGCCTGCTCTCCCCCGCCCCCGGGGGGGGGGGGGGGGGGATGGCGTCCGAGGTGAAGGGCCGCTTGCGTGCGCACGGCGCTCCTCGGGCGCCTGGGGTAGCCCCCCCCCCTCCTCCCCCTTGAGCCCTCCTCCTTCCTTGCCCCCTCGCGCCCCGTCTTCCTGTCGTGGCTCAGGGTCTCTCCCTTGCGGGTCCCCACCTGTATCTCTCGCTCCGCTCGTTCTCCCTTCCCCCCCGCCCCTTCTCCCAGTTCATCGTCTCGTTGCTGCCATGTCCAAGCCCTCGCCTTGCACCGCCGGCCGCCGGCCCGCGTCGCCCGGCAACCCGATCACCATCGGCCTGGAGGGCAGTGCCAACAAGATCGGCGTCGGCATCATCCGCGAAGACGGCACCATCATGGCCAACCTTCGTCGGACATACATCACCCCGCCGGGGCAAGGTGCGTCATCGGTGGGCGCTTGTCCGCCGCCCCTCCGCATTCTCCCTGCCTGCATGTGTCTCCGGATGTCTCTATCTCTCTCTCTCTCTCTCTCTCTGTGTGTGTGTGAGTGTCTGTGCGTGGTGCGCCAATGCTGACTCCATTTCTTTCCTACGTTCCCCTGTGTCCATGGATGTGTCGCCCTCCAGGCTTTCTTCCCCGCGCCACGGCTCAGCACCACCGCAGCCATGTGCTGGACCTGGTGCAGGAGGCCCTCGACCAGGCCGGCCTGAAGCCCGGCGACATTTCGCGCGTGGCTTTCACCCAGGGCCCGGGCATGGCCCCGCCGCTGATCGCCGTGGCTGTGGCCGCGCGCACCCTGGCCCAGATCTGGGATGTCCCTCTGATCGGTGTCAACCACTGTGTCGGCCGTGCGCCCCCCCTCCCCCCCTCCCCCCCTCATTGCCTTGCTTTTCCCTCATCTGCACACCTCTTCCTGACGCCGACAAGTCCCTCCCCACCCCCCGCCCTCACCTCCTCGCTTCTTCCGCCCGGCTCTCCCAGACATTGAGATGGGTCGCCTCATCACCGGGGCCGAAAACCCGGTGGTCCTGTACGTGAGCGGTGGCAATACCCAGGTGATTGCTTACTCCGAGCGGCGGTATCGCATCTTTGGCGAGACCATCGACATTGCCATCGGCAATTGCCTGGACCGCTTTGCTCGCGTCCTCGGCGTGCCGAATGACCCGTCTCCCGGCTACAACATCGAGCTTCTGGCTCGCAAGTGCGTCACGCGGCCGCCCCTCTCCGCCTCCTCTCCCGGCCGGCCAGCTGGCCCGGCTGCGCCATCAATGTACTTACTCTGTCCACCCTGGGCCGGGGCGTCGCCACAGGGGCAAGCGATTCTGCCCTCTTCCCTACGTGGTCAAGGGCATGGATGTCTCCTTCTCCGGCATCCTGTCGCAGGTGGAGAAGCTCGCCCGCGAGGGCGTCTACACTCCGGAGGACCTGTGCTACTCGCTGCAGGAGACCCTCTTCTCCATGTTGGTCGAGACGACCGAGCGTGCCATGGCCCATGTTGGCTCCAAGGAGGTCCTGATTGTCGGCGGCGTCGGATGTGCGTCCTTTGACGGGCCTCTTGGCGCCGGCTCCCACGCCCAGCTCACCCCTCAATTTCCCCTGCGCATAGTCTCTCTCTCTCTCTCTCCCTCTCTCTCTCTCTCTCTCTCTCTCTCTCTCTCTCTCTTTTTCTTTCTCTCTCTCTCTCTCTCTCTTTCTTTCTCTCTCTCTCTCTCTTTTTTTCTTTCTCCTTCTCTAACACACACGATTTGCTCGGCTCCCTGCTCCGCCGCCTCCCCCCGCCCCATGCCCGCCACCGCTTCGCCACGCCCCTGCGACACCTTCCACAGGCAACCTCCGTCTCCAGCAGATGATGGGCCACATGGTGGAGCAGCGCGGCGGACACATCTACGCCACTGACGAGCGCTTCCTCATCGACAATGGCCTGATGATCGCGCATGCCGGGTCGGAGATGGCCCGCGTCGGGCTGACCACCCCCCTCGAGTCGTCGGCGTGCTCCCAACGCTTCCGCACTGATGAAGTCTACGTGACCTGGCGCGATTGAGCGCATGTGTCCGGCCACCAATATAGAAGGCAATCGCGTGATTCCCGGGCGCCGTTCACATGACGGCGCGCTTAGTGGGCAGGTGTGTCCTGATTGCGGGCTTTTGCCAGCTTGGTGGGGCTTCCCACCGAACCCGGGGTGGCGTGCACATTGTGGGTGTGTTTTTCCGATCCGCGGATGGGTGTGTCTTTCCACGGCTCAGTGTTTTCCCGCCCTCAAGTCCCCCCCCCAGCCCCCCCGGGCTTTTCGCACAGGAGGTTCCCTGACACTGGGTGGGGGCTTGGCCAAAGAAATGCCTCCCTTCTAAAGGCGGCCACCCGCATGGCCCCGGCCATTTCCACGGTCTCCCCTCATCACCACCTGCCCTGTGTGCCCTCCCTCCCTCCTTCTCCCTCTCCCTCTCCCTCTCCCTCTCCCTCTCTCTATTTCCCTTCTCTTGCTCATCCACCTCCTTTCGGCCCCCGGCTGTCGGCTCTCAACATGTCCGGTGACCATGACTCTGCCGCTCGGCGCAGCACGGTGCTCCTGATCCTGGCCGCCGGGTATGGAACCCGCCTGGCCCGAGACCTGGAGCAAGACCCCGACCCCCGGTGGGATGCCGTGCGTCGCCTGCCCAAGCCCCTGCTGCCGGTTCTCCGGCGCCCGGTGACCTCGAGTGTCGTCACCCCGCCCGGGGCCGAGGGGGCCGGCTCGCGCGACAGCAGCACCAGCACCCTGCCCGAGGCCGAGGCTCCGGACCCCGGGCGCGCGGCGGCGGCCCCCCGGGACTCCTTCTGCGATGCGTGGGTCCAGGCGGCGGTGGATTGCAACCGCGAGCTCAATCCCACCGGTGTGAGCTGGCTCGCCGGACGGTACCACACCGCCAATGTGGGCATTTCCCAGGTGGTCCTGGTGACCAATGCCGCCCACTTGGCCCTCTATGAGGCGTGGGCTGCCGGCGCCCGGGAGCGCTTTGCCCTGGCCGACTGCCGCGACTCGGATGCCGACGCCAGCGGCCATGGCCCCGGGTCGATGACCCTCTCGGTCATCAGTGACGGGTCTACCAGCAATGCCACCCGCCTGGGTGCCATCGGCTCGCTGGGGCTCGCCATGGGGCAGCTGCCGCGCGAGTGCGATCTGCTGGTGGTGGCCGGCGACTCGTGGGTCCACCGGGCCGATGGCCTGGACTTGGCGGAGTTCCTGCGTTTCCGCCGGGCCTGGCACTTTGCCGGGCGCCCGGCCGATGTGGGGCTCCTTTGCTACCCGCTGCCGGCCCTGGACGACCCCACCCAGCGGGGCATCTTGGCCCTGTCGGCCGAGGCGGCGCACTTCGCCGGCGACCCCGCGGGCTTGCCCATTCACTTGGACCCGGCGGCCGGGTGGGCCGCCGCTCATGAGGATCCGCCACCCTCGGCCCCGGGCAGGGGTCCAGTCGGGCGGCCCTTCGCCGGCCAGGCCCCGCCACGTCGGGTCCTGGACTTGGTCGAGAAGCCGGCATCGGCCGAGCTGGCCCCCTCGCGCTTTGTCTGTCCGGCGGTCTACCTCTTGACTCGGGATGCGCGGCCGCATGTTTTGGACTACATTGCTGTGCGCTGTCCCCCCTGCAAGCACATTGCCCTTCTTTTTTTTTTCCTCCCCCCACACAGGGCCCCAGGCCAGCTCACCATCCATGCATGCCCTTGGCGGCGATCTTCTTTTCACTTTTCCCAGCGCGGCGCCACCGACCCCACAGTCAACATGGATGCCCCGGGGCATCTGATTTCCCATTTGGCCAAGTGCGTGCTCCTTTCTCCCGCCTCGGACGTTTCCCTTTTGGCGGAGTCTGACCCACCGACCTATATGCGCGTGTATGTGTGTGTGTGTGTGTGTGTGTGTGTGTGTGTGTGTACGCGCGCGCGCCCGTGTGCATGATCTGACACATCTTCCTGGACAGGTGTTCTTTGGCCCTGGCTTTCCCCATCCGCCGGCGAATGGATGTGGGCAACTTGGCCGAGTATCGGTATGCGGTCCCCCTTGCGGAGCGCCCCCCGCCCCCCCCTCCCTCCTCCTCACGGCGGGGATGGCTCGCATTCTTTGCATGTGCACACGCGTGGCCCGAGATGCGAAACTGACGGCTGTGCCCATGTGTCCCCGGCCTTCTGGGGGGAGTCAGGGCCGCCATCGAGCAAGAGCACCATGCCGGGCGGTGCTTTGCTCGGGCTGCGCTGGCCGGGAACCCCTCGGACGCGTATGCCGGCCGGGTGGTCGGCGCGGCGGTGGCAAACTACTATGCGGAGGTGTGCATTGCCGAGCGCCCGGAGGCTGGTGCGTTTCATGCCGCATGCATTGGCCTTGTCGGCCGGTCTTTCGCCCTGGCCATGTGCCGCTTGCTCGCCCTTCGCCACGCCCAGCGGCGCCCCGGTCCCCTCGTCCCACCTCCCTCCCTTGAGGCCTCTGCATCCGGCCGCCCTTCGCCCCTTCACACGCCCTCCCTTCTCCGCGCTGGCCACCCTGCAGGCTGCCATCCCCCGCAAGACAATGGCCGCTAACCACGCGTCCCGGCCTGGTCCGCCAGAGCTCCAACACCTCCGGCAGGTGGCCGGCATCGCCCTTCTGCCGCATTCGGTGCACGACTCGCATGAGGGAGTCGAGTTTGGCAGTGGCATGCGCCTGATGGAGGCGGCGGTCGGCCGTTTCCACGCCCTGGCCACCCGGGCCGGTGTATCGGTGGCTGGTCGGTCGGTCCGAGGCCTGGGGCTATCCTATTCGACGACGATCCCGCGCAGCTGCGGGCTCAGCGGCTCGAGTGCCCTGATCGCCGCGTGCTGGCGAGCTCTGGCCAGTTTGCACCGTGTTTCCCTGGCGACCCTCTGCGGGGGCGAGGAGCAGGTATGTTCGACTACCCCACGACAGGCAGGCATCGCCGCAGGTCTCGCCCTGCCGGATGACAAAGCCGCAAGATACCGCCTTCGCAAAGGATCTCTCTCTGACACACACACACACACACACACACACACACGCCCATGCACGCATGCACATAATCCCGTTGCATTCAGATCCCGTTCGAAATTTTGGCCGTCGAGACGGAGGACCTGGGCATCGTGGCCGGGCCGCAGGACCGCCTGATTCAGCATCATGGCGGCCTTGTTGTCATGGACTTTGCCGGGGCCCGGCCGCTAATCACCCGGCCCGCCGGCTGCCCCAAGGGTATGTCGGATGCCCAGCCGGCGTCTCCTGAGGCCGTGGCTTTTGACCCCTCCGAGTGAGAGTGCCTGGACAGCTGACCCCCTCGCCCCCGCGCCCTTCCCCACCCCCTTTGCATGTGGCTCGCTCGCTCGCTCGCTCGCTGGCCCGCCCATGCGCCCACCCGCTGGCTGGGTGTCTGTGCGACTCGGCCATCCGCTCGGGGCAATTGCCCCCAGGCATGCTCCCCGGGACGCTATACCTGGCACATCGAACCGAACCGGCCGGGGCCGGAAGCTCGGGCGATGCACACCGGACCGTTCGCGCCAGGCACACCAGCGGCTCGACGCTGGTGAGAGACCGGATGGCCCGACTGGCGGACCTTGCCCAGCGCGCTGTCGACGCCCTCGCCAAGGTACGTGACGCGCGGGGTGGGTGGTGGGCATGCCACGCGGGCTGGCGCATCCGGCCGAGGCACTCTATGAATCTACATTTTGCGGGGGCAAGGAAAAGTGCCAGGCCGCCGGGGAGAGGAACAAGCGGCAGGGGGCCCAGGAAGGGGACGCAGCGCTGACACGGCGAGAAAAAAAAAGCACGATCTGGCCGCCTTCTGCATGGTGCTCGATGAGTGTCACCAAATCCGCCGGGAGGTCTTCTTCGGGCATCTATCCGAGGCAGACATTCGTGACCCGGCCAATGCCCACTCCAATGACATCCTCAACTTGCGCCTGGTGTCGCTTGCCGCGGAGGCCGGCTGCGCGGCGGCCTTCTGCGGCTCCGGCGGGGGGGTTGTCATCGCCCCCCGGCCGGATGACGCCTCCAGCGGCGGAGGTATCTGGCCAGGTCCGAGCCCCGAGCGAGAGCACGAACTTGTCCAGCATTTCCAGCGCCACGGGGTGCACTTGATCCGCTTGCATGTGGCTCCCGCATGTCTGTGAGAGTTGGAGCCGGGCAAGAGAGAGAGAGAGAGGGGGGGGGCGAGGGGCAAGGGACAGCCAACCGGCCGAGGGAAGGAAGAAGCAAGAAGCTGTACAAAAATAGCCAGGCACATGGCCCTTGTACATGCCTCCTGGCAATAGATCTTTCCGAGCATCAAGAACCGAGGCCTGGGCGGACAGCAGGGGCGGTGGGGGGGGGGGGGGGGGGGGGAGGCACGGGAGAAGCCAAGTCAAAGGGCGGCGGAGCGGTGACAGCCGTCCGATGCGCCCAGCGCCAGGGCCTCGAAGCAGCGCGGGCACTCGACCCTGATCCGGTCGCGGTCGCTCAGCTCGTCGTTCGGCACAAGATCCAGCGAGAAGGGGTCCCGGGAGTGGGCACGCGCGGTGGGCCGCCCGGTCGACATCTCAAGGAGGCAGGCCCGGTGATAGCGTCGCCCGCAGCCGCAAGTGATGGCCGGGAAGTTGGCCACTTGGAGGGGGGCCGTCGAGTCAGTCGGACCGGGCGAGTCGCCGACCCGAGATGGCGGGCCACCCTGGCTGGCTAGCTTTTGGCTCGGGTGGGCCCCGGCACTGACCTCCTGCGAAAGGAAGATGTCCTCCTCGCTGTCGTTCTCCCGCGGGAGGAAGGGAAATTCGTGCTCACTATGGCCGCCGGCGGACGGCGGCGTGGGCACCCGATCGCCCGGACGCTGGTTCCTGTCCGGCCATGGCCGAGACCCCGCCCCGGCCTCAGCGGCCCTCGTCGCAGCACCATCCTCCAGATGCCAGTATCTCTGACAAAGGTGGCAATCTAGCTCGCCCTGGGGGGCGTCTTTCCAGATGCCCGGACTCAAGCGCACGTCGCTCAGCGCCTTTGCCTGGGTCAACAGCCCCAGCACCGGCCCGAGGGCACTTCGTGCAGGGCTCGAGCCTTCCGAAGGGGCCGCCAGAGCCTGGCGCAGCTGGCCGCACCGGTGGCACGGCGTCCCGACCAGCGACGGGGCCGGCGCCGATCCCCCGGGATCCAAGAGGTCCGCCACCAGCCGTCGCCCGGAGACCGAAGACTCCGACACAAGCACCGGCCGGTCGGCCGGCGCGGGAATCCGGCGATCGGCCAGGGCCGGAGGCTCGGCGCCGTCGGCCACCACGGCCACCGGTGCGCTGTCATCCGGAGCCTGCGCGAGGAAGGCCGCCCGGCCGTCCAGCAGCAGCCCCCCCACCGGCACATTGAGAAGGGTGGCGACGGGGCCAGGCGGGTGCACCGGCATGGGCGTGTCCGCCAGCGCGGCCGCCAGCCCACCCAGCGGGGATTGGCTATTTGGCGTGAAAAATTCATCCAGGAGAGAGTCCAAGTCCAAAGGCCCCGTGGCTGGGGCCGGGCGACCTGCTGGCGCATTGGCGGCCGCCGAGCCCCCGGCCTCTGCCAGCGCCAGCCAGTACAGCCCGATGCAGGCCCCCGGGGCCAAAAGCAGCCGCTGTGCCGGCGACAGGTGCCGGAGTCGCTCGACCGGGATGACGGCCACCGGCCCCGGGGGCAGCGTCCCCGGCCATCGAGACCGCTCGAAATGGAGACCAAGCGAAAGAACATCCCCGAGGCGCGCCGCGTGCTGGGCAAGCAGGGCCTCGACCAGGTTTAGCACGGCAGCCGGGCTGTCCAGGCGCGGCGAGCCCCCCGGCTGCTCCGATATCCCCAGCCGCCGGAGGGCCCCCATGTCAAGCTCGAACTGATTGGCTCCGGGTCAGCTGGGAAGACCCCGCACAAGGGACACAAGCGGCCGCACGAGATGCGCACCTGCGGGGCGGCACCACCGAAGGGATTGTCACCGGGGGGAATGACGCGCACGCGGACCGGGACTTCGAGCAGGATTTCGCTCGGGCAACCGCAGCCAAGTCCCGCGAGGCCCACGGGCAGACGTCCGTACGCCGCAATCGTGAAGGTGTCGACATCCGGGGAGAGGGCCGTCACGCGGCCGAGCCCCGGCCACCGGGTGAATGGCGTGTCCCCGCTGGGCGCGGATTCGCGGGCGGACGGCAATTCTTGCAATATGCCCGGCAGGGCCGGAAGAGAAGTCAGCGCCCTGAGCGTGTGCCTTCGCCGAGACACGTCCTAGAGCCCGGGCGGCAAGTTACATGGCTGACGTTAGCAACGAGGGCAGACGGCCCCAGGTGGCACCATGTGCTGCCGCGCGGCGCGTACCCGCAGAGACTGGGACAGGTGCTCCGGCACGAGCAGCGCATCCAGCAGCCGCGCCAACGCCGCGAGATGCGGCTCACCGGGCCTGGCCGGGAATTGCAGCAGCACCAGCAGGTGGCGTAGGGCCGGCTCCGGCCGGAAGATCACCCCCGATCCATCGGACAGCACCAGGTCCAGAGCGAAGATACCCTGGGTGCGAGAAGGCCCATGCGGTGAGTCGGATGGCCGGGAGAGGGCGGAGCGAAGGGCAACACACGCACCGGGCCGTAGAATCCAGGCGGAATGTCGTCCGGCAGGAGGCCGTACCTCTCGGTCAGGCCCTCGGCTGCTACGAGCAGTCGCGTATGACGGGCGGAGATCCGCCGCCGGCGAACACGCTGCGTGGTCAGCGGCGGCAGCCGCCGGCCAGTCCAGCCGGGGGACATCCAGCTGGGAAGGGCCCCAGTCAGGCGGCACGCAGTGCGATGAGGAGAGCGCAAACGGCGAGGGGGGAGGGGGCAAAGGGAGGGGGCAAAGGGAGGCACAGGGGGGAGAGGGGCGGGCTGGGAAAGGCCTCGCTTTCCGCGGCCTGGGAAGCGCCTGGTGGCGCTTCAGCATGGCTCAAAAACCTTTGCCCTCCCGTAGATCGCATGTCTCCCCGGGCGGCATCTGCCAACCCATCCGAGTTCGATCACCCCCCGACATGGTGCTGTCTCCTGCCGCTGTTTTTTTTTTTTTTTCGGCCACCAACCCCCGCCGCGGAGAACTGCTCCGGGCTTCACACTCTCCCCACCTCCTCCGTTTTCCCCCCTGTCCCCCGCCCCCCGCCCCCCGTCGCCCCGTCTCCCCGCCCCCACATACGCGACATGTCCCCAGCCTCCCCGGCCGTGCCGCGCCTCGTCGCCTTGGCTATTTTCAACTCTTCCGTGCGGCCTGCCTTCCTTTCGTCTTCCTGCTCCCCCCCCTGGGCCCATCACACCCAACACCTGTACGCTGACCCTCCCCGCCCCCCCCCCCCCCCTGCCATCGTGTCTCGAAGAATATCCCCCTCTTCTATGCGGCCTTTCCCCAAGGGGGTGCGCGTGTCGGATCTCCAGCCCCGGCTGCCGGACAGATTCTCCTCGGTGACTCGGAGGTTTCTCTCGAGTACCAGTACATCTTCCACGCCTGCCTAGATAGCATCCTCGAGCGCGGTTCGTGCTCCCCTTGATGGACACCCTCCCTTCCTGGCTCCCTTCCTCCCCCCCCCCCCGCTCTTCTCTCCTCCTGCCTCTCACACGCGCCCGCTTTGATGGCGAAACCCACCCCAAACAGCCATGATCTCGGACAGGCCTTTCCTCGGTCTGCTGGCTTCCTTTCCGTCCGGGAAATCGCTTCTGTCGGTCTCCGACTTCGGTGGCTCCGGCGCGCCGCCGGCACCGGAGAGCCCGAGCGTCGGCCTTCCCGCCGAGATCCACGCATATGGCTTCCTCTCGGCCACCCGGACGCAAGTGGTGGCTCTGGTCCAGGCACCGGCCTCCTCGAGCCTGGGGGCCAGCTCCATCGGTGGTGCCTTCCGCCTGCGCGCCAGCACCAATACCCCGTCGGGAACGGTCCCAGGCGCGCCCGGGGCTCCCGGCTCCGGCAATGTCGCCGCCCCTCCGGCTGCCACGGCGGCCATCCAGCTGGACGATGAATCCATGGCGCGCATCATGGCCGGTGTCTACTCGGCCTTCATCGCCGTGGCCAACACCCACATCCCCAATGACCTGACCGGCTATCTGCAGTCCTTGTCGCAGGGCCAGATGCATGCCTTTGACGATCAGCCGCCCGGATCGCTGGAGGGAAACCAGAAGTTTGTGGCCCACGTCCGCCGCGTGGTGCAGCCCTTCATCATTACCTGACAGGGCCGCCGGCGTCTGTGCTCAACCCCGCACACAAGCGCCCGCCCGCCCGCCCGCCCGCCCGCCCGCCGGCCCACACATTCCCACATGCCGAGTCACGGCGTGTGTTCGAAGGCCAAGCACTCCCCTGCCTCCCTCTCGAGTGCGGCGCCGGGCTTCGAAAATATACAAAACAAGCAAGTCACCGCCCGGGCGCACGCATACGCAACCTCGACTGGCAACACGCATCTATCGCAAGTGTATTTCCCTCTCCCCCCGCCCCCGCAGCAGTAAGGGGCAAATGATACGGGCACAAGCTGGGGGAGGGGGACAAAGGCACGCATGCGCCCGCAAGCAAGCAAGCAAGCAGACACACACACACGCGCGCGCACATGCACGCAGACACACCCAGGTGCACCAGTGCCCAGCAGCATCATTGGTTCCGATAGACCAGCTGGTGGCGCTTGTGCTGCAGCTCCTGGTGCTGCTGCTTGTTGATGAGCTGGGCCACGCGTGGGCCGGCGGCCTCGCGGCTGTGAAGCTTCTTCAGCGACAGTGGCGCCTCGGACATTCGGGTGGGCGTGAAGAGGGACGGGTCGTGGGCGGTGCTGGTCACGCCACTTAGGCCGGGCCCGGTGGACACCCGCCCGGCCGACATCGCCGGGGCGGTGCCCATGTCCGGGCCCGACTCGCGCCCCGGCGACAGGAGAGCCGCCGACCCACCGCCGCCGCTGCCGCCGCCGCCGCCGAAGCTGGGTCCGATGAAACTTCCGCCCTGGATGCCACCAACACCGGCCCCATGGAGCCCATGCCGTCCGGAACGCCCGAGAGAGGCATTCGGCGCGCTGGGGCCCCCCTCGGCGTAGTTGATCGGCAGGGTGGGGTCAATGTGCGACGTGGTGCCGATCAGCTGGTCGAAGATGTTCAGGGAGAAGCGGTCACACAGCTCGCGCGAGAACTTGGTCCCGCGTACGGAGTTGCCGCACTCGTCGATGTTCGGCGACCAGATGGCCAAGCCCAGGACATTGGGGATGCACAGGATGATGCAGCCGGAGACGCCGGACTTGGCCGGCAGGCCGATGGTGCAGGCCCACTCGCCGGAAGACTCATTCATGCCACACGAGTACATCAGCTGGATGGTGGATTTGGCCGCCTCCAGCGAGAAGCAGACCCTGTTTGAGGAAGGCCCAAGGGGAGGACAATGCCCCAGCCCGACGGTGCACGTTAGATCCGGCGCACAAAGGTGGCCCACAAAAGGGGGCAGGGGGGGGGGGGGCGATGGAGGAAAAGGGCGCGGCCGGAAAGCACGGGCACACGTACTCCTCCGAAAGCGGGCACACGCCCCGGTTGGCCAGGGTGGCCGTCATGATGGCCAGCTGCTCGCAGGTCACCTCGAGCGAGCAAAGCTGGAAGTAGAAGTCCAATGCCTCCTCGACATTCATGTCGCTCGGGTAGGCGCCCTGGCTTTTCATGAAATACCCGAGGGCGAAGTTGCGGTGTGCGGTCTCCAACTCCGAGAGGTACACGGGTTGGGAGAAACTCAGCGGCATGCCGCCGGCCATTTTCCTGGCACCGGCCCGGTGCCGCAAAGGCAAGGAAAGCGGATCAGTCAGCAAATTGAGGCAGCCCAGGCAGGCAAACGAGCAGGACGCGGGACAGGCGCGCGGGGAGGGGGGGGAGGGGGGGAGCATGGGCGATGACGACCACCGGGCCGAGGGGAGAAGAGGGGAGGGGGTCAGCAGGGAGGGCCTGGCTGGGCTCGGCCGGCAAAAGCCACGAGACGACGGGGCACGCACTGGAAGCGGTCCATCACATGCTGCATGCGGGTGGAGGTCAACTCGCCGGGCTTGATGAGGGTGGCCGTGACAATGGCCCCGGCATTGATCATCGGATTGTGCGGCAGGCCGTCGGCATTTAGGATGAAGGCATTGAAGGCGGCGCCGCTTGGCTCGCGGCCGACATGATTGAGGATCTTCTCCTGGCCGGCCTCCTCGAAGGCCAGTGCATAGGAAAACGGCGTGCAGGTGGCCTGCATGCATGTGGTCCCGCGGGTGTCCGAGGCATCGCCATACTCGAAGACCTGGCCGTCGACCGTGCAAACGGCGATGCCGAAGCGCTGCGACGGGACCCGGCTGAGCTCCGGAATGTAGCTGGCCCGCTGGCCGGTGTTCATCATGCGCACCGACTCGAAGATGTCCACCAGCTCCTGGCAGAACTCCGTGAAGGAGGGAATCACCAGCTGCCCGCCGATGGTCTTGCGCAGGATGGACCCGGCGTGCTCCGGTGCCGTCATCAGGTCATAGAAGGTGTCATAGTCCACCTGCATGAGGTACCGCCCAGTCACAGGGGTGGGGAGGAGAAGAGCAAGCAGGGGTGGAGGCGATGTCAGTCGAGCCAAGGGGCAGGCGAACAAGTGGAAGGGGGGCAGGGGGGGGGGGGGGGCGAGAGGGATAGAGGCCGAGAGGGAGGGAGCGAGAAAAAGGAGACCGAGAGGGGATGACGAGAGAGAGAGGGGGAGCCAGGCCGGGAGCCAGGATCGCGGGGGGGGGGGGGGGGCAGAGCCACGACGCACGCTATCACCGCCCGGGTCACAGAGCTGATCCAGCTGCTCCCGAAGGGGGGTCAACCGCACGGGGTCGAGCCCGGCCTCGCGGGTGATGCTCTCCAGCGTCCGCCGGGAAATGGCCCCGGTGCCCTCCGGGTCCAGGGTGGCGAAGAGATTCTGAATGTACGTGTCTTCGGCCGTGGTCGACGAGGAGGAGGCAACACTGCCAGCCACAGAGGCGCAGTCCTCAGCGCCGGCGCCGAAGCCACCAACACCCCCGGGGCGCCCGCCGGACAGGAAGCCACCCAGATCCGACTGGAGGATTGGCGGCGAGGACATTGACGACCGGAAGGAGGGGAAGGATCCGCCGCCGCCGCCGCCGCCGCCGCCGCCGCCGCCGGAGGTGGCGATCGGCGCCTCGCCATAGGACCCGGCATCCGCGGGCCCGGGGTCCGCCTGTCGGGCCAGCTCCGCGAGGGAGTTTCGCAGGGCCGCGAAAGCCGGCGGCGAGAGGGGGCTCATCGGCGCGGCCGGCAAGTCCCCGGACCGGAGGCCGGCACGGCGACCGGACCGGCCTCCACAGCGGTGTCCGGCCTGGCCATCAGGCGCGAGCTGATCAGCAGCCGCTCGGCCGCCAGCTCCAACGGGCTGCCGCCATGGCCAAGCTCGGCGAAAACATGCATGGTCGACCGTAGAGACTCCAGCAGACTCTCGGAGAAGCCGTGCAGAGGCACGCCCGCCCCGGCGGTGCGCAGGATCCCCGTCGGCCCGGATTGCGATCCGCCATCCAGGGAAACACCCCCGACCCCGGGGGACGTGTCCACGCGAATGGTCTGCGGCGAGGCTGCCGTGCTTTTGGACATGGTGGCCGGCGTCGGGGCCGGTGTCGGGGCCGCTGGGGCTGCGGTGGCCGTGGCGGCCGGCCACCGGACCCCGGTGGCGCCCTGCTGCAGCGGGTCAGGACCAGGGCTCGAAGCGCCGGGGGGAGTTGCCACGGTGCTTGCCGCCGCCGCCGCCGCCATCACAGGGCCAGGAGCCTGGGCGACATTCGAGGAGGGTGCGCCCGCCGGCGGGAGACGCAGCACCGAGCCCGAGGAAACCGGGGCCACGCTGTCGGAGAGGGCATCGACAGCCGGGTCCACCGGCAGCAGGAGGTGCTGCGGGCTGGAGTCGGTGCCCGACACGCCCTCGTCATCGGCCAGCAGGACACTGGAAGGGTCACTCGGGCTGTCAGCATCCCCCTCGGCCGGGGTGGCCAGGATCGATGCCGACAGCGGGGGGTTGATGATGTCGCAGTTTTCCGACAGCGGATACCGGAGCGAGTCCTCCGACAGATTGGACAAACGCAGGGCATCCAAATCCGAGACACTGGCCTCGGCCGACACCAAGCCAGCCGGCGGGCTACCGGGCACCTCGGGGAAGAGTTGGCCACTGCTGAGGGGTGAGAATTCGGCCGGGGGGTCCATCGGGTGGTCGATAATTGCCCGCTCACGGGCTAGCGGGGGCCGGGGGGGGGAGGGGGGGGGGGACGGGCGAGAGCGGGGAAGGAGGGACAGGAAGAGGACGATGTCTCGAGCGAAGAACCGACAAGGGGAAAGGGCAGGGAGAAGGAGGCACGACGGGGCTTTGTCTGGCACGGAGGCCGCCCCGGCGACCGCGCCCCCACGAGTCCCTCACTTCGGCCTCCGTCGCTGACACCGGGCGCGAGGAGCGCGAGGGAGATCTCGGCCGCCAGGAATGATGTCTAGGTCAAAGCCTGCCACAGTCGCGGCTCCCGCCCCCGGGCCCCGTCCCCCTCCCCGGGCGTTGCGGCCACCATCGCGTGCCGGCGCGGAACATCTCATCCCCGCCGCCCTCTGGCCATCTCCATTTCCGGGTGCCAACGCTGGCGCATCCCCGGAGAAGTTACGGACAAGAGGGGCTCCCGGGAGAGGGGACCTTGTGCGTGGGCATTTGATGCTGAAAATGAGGCCTTGATCCAGTGATCCGCCGGCGGGCATATGATCTTAACTGTGTACGGCCGTGCGCACACGAGGCCCGAGTGAACTGTTACCGAATGGTCCGACATTTGCCCGCTCGCGGTGAGGGCTATAAACAGACGGCTCTAAGTCCACAATTGAATAGGTCCGCTCCGTTCCCCTCGCTGTTGCCGTGGGGGGGCGGTCCATGCTCGAAGGGGGCTGATCGGGGCCAGCACCGGAGGGCCCCGCGCGGGATTGTGGTGGATCCGCCCGGCATATGCCCAGGCGGGAGGCATGCACGCTGGGCCGGGCACCAAGTAGCTGGTGGTGGATAATATCCCGCGTGGGTTCTTTATTATTATTAATATTTTCTCCCCGCTTCCCGGGGAAGGGCTCCTTGCACCTTGTCCTCTCTTGGCAGCTGTTTTATTGGCCCCCACAGAAGCATGGGGGGGAGGAAATAAAGACGCGCGAAATGCCTGGTGTGGTTGCACGCCCGCGCGCCCAGCCAGCCATCCCCACACAGGCGCACCCCGATACATTTGCACACAGACACGCCCGAACGTGGACTGTGGTCCGTCCCGCCCCGCGGCGAGGTGGTCCAGATATTCGGCGCCGTCGCGACGAGGGGGGATCCCTCCTCGCATGGAACGCGCGGGAGGCGCGGGAAGGGCGTCCCGGCGAAGGCACGCCAGGTGGGCTGCCGGCCAGTGGCCGAGGGGCAAGAGAGCCGGCCTCAGGGAGGGCCGACCGCTTGTTCACCAGCCTCTATCGAGCGCCTGTCGGCCAGGAGGCCGTCGGCCACCCCATTCCCGGGGGGGGGGGGGATGCTGTTGCGCTCGCTGGATCGGAAGTGCAAAGGTCCGGCCAGCGCGAGCTCGCCACAATGTGCGGCCCTTCCGGCACACTGTGTGGAGTGTCGCGGCCGGGCATGCGCATGCGGCCCGGCCATCGGGCCTCCTTACAGTCGCATGTGGAGGACCAAGGGGAAAGGCATTTCCGGGCCATCCCGCGCGACAGGGTCTCCCCGGGCGCGGGGCTGCATGGTGGCCGAGGGACGGCCGGCCTTTCCCCTGGCACCGGTCGTTGCTGCGGCCCCCGTTCACCTGCTGACCATCGGATCTGGACGCCCCCATCTGGGGCCCGGCAAAGGAGGCGACCCACTGCGCGCCTATGCGCTCGCACATGCATCCTGTGGTTGCCCGCGGCCCGGGGGGGGGGG